AAAAAAAAAAAAAAAAAAAAAAAAAAAAAAAAAAAAAAAAAAAAAAAAAAAAAAAATAACGCGCTCGACTTTTCGAATGACGGAAAAACGGCTGTTTCATTTTTGATTTTGACACTTATACTTTTTCTAGAGAAAGCACAGAGAATATATTATACGATATACAGCCGATTATAGGACTCTCGTTAATTAACACGCTCTAAAACGCATATACTTCCGAATAGTTGTATCCTTTCTTCTCAGACGGAAAAAATCTTTATTATATTTCTATGTTATCTCATTCTTCTCTTTTTGTTTTATATACTTCATAGAAACATAGGTCTCGCAGAAACTTGAAAAAAGAGAGATCATTTAATTTCAATAACTTGTTTTAAATGATTCCAAAAAAAAAAAAAAAAAAAAAAAAAAAATATATATTACGTTTCACTATATGCTTTTTGATAGATGTACACACATCGTGATACAGGCGTATCATATTTTTCGTGTGTCTTTTATTTCTTAACTTCTTGCTATAACCATGTATGAGTAGAATCAGAGATTTTTCATAGCAATCCGATATCAAGGGTGATATAATATAAGGGAGGAGAGCTCTTCTAGGTTGCTATATATGCGCCACGATTTATATAAATTTTAAGTTTTTTTTCCTTAACGTAGTTTTGCTTGCCATACGTAATACGCGAGATGTAAACTAAAATAACGATATAGAAACAAACACGCAATGAATATATAATATTAATAAAGTAAAAAGTAAAAAAGAAAAAAAAAAGATTAAACACTTATCGATGTAGCTGAAGAAAAACGCGTGTGGGCCCCGAAACATATAATACATACACGTACACACACACACACACATAAACACACCCCCTTGTATATTCTTATTAAAATATTAAACGTAACGTGTGTATATTCCGCTATTATTATTATTTTTTTCATAGCCGAGAAAAAGGAAAGGATTACACACGCGTAACGCGCGCGGTAACATGTATGTTTGATAATCATTAGTACATTTATATCTTTTCGTTTTTACTTTCTCTTCCTTAAATATTTAAAAGAAAGAAAGAAAGAAAAATATGGTAACGGGGGATGAGAAAGAGGCGTACACCACATGCATGGGTGTATTTGTTGCGAGGGGAGAGAAAACGCCTTTCGGTATCTTTTAACTAGAATATCCGGAATGTCGTTTCCGGTTTACGAAAAGAAAGGCGAGAAAAGGAGAGACAGAGAGAGAGAGAGAAGGAGAAGAATCGTTCGTTGATCCGAAAATTATTAAACATGCGCTAAGCTGTTATCGATAATCATATAATTTGACTTCGATGGGTCGGTCCAATGGTGGCAAATCGTCTCGAATCACTTTTTTTCAAGCACGTTTCAGATTCGACACTATTACCGAGTGAATATCAGAGATGGAAAGATGGAGCGTATTTTTGCAATGAGCGAAAAAATATAAAATCGCGTAAATATATACATATAAATATATAAGTGTGTGTTTGTAGAAACACGCAATTTCCATTTGCGCGATGAGATAAATCCACTATTAACATACGTGATCGTAATGATAATCGATTAGAGCTACGGGGAGAGAAGCCGAGATAAATTCGTAATCACTCCCGTGAGATATACAATATCGCCCATCGCACACCATAGCTCCGACCTATTCGCGGTCCCTCGCATTTATATAAACGCAACCACACACATTGATGTATTCTCTCGTTGGATTATCAATACCATTGTAAACACTTACTGTTGTAACATGTATGCCCCATTCATGTCTAGTGTCGAGCAGAGCTGATTCTACGCTTTCGCTATAGTTCGAGAGAAGGAGAGATCGCGTATGCAAAAATGTTTCCGAATATAATCTATTATTCGTGCGCAACTCGTATTACATGATTTAAAGGAGCGATGAGAGAGAAAAAATAAAGAGAATCAGTGCTGGCGAGAACACGAGGCAACCGAGAAAAAAAAGACAAAAAAAAAAGATTATTGTAAAACTCTAAGGAGTCACACACGTTTAAACTACTTCTAAAAAAACGGATACATATTCGGAAAGTAGCAGAGATAAATAACTAATATAAATGTAGTGGCAAAAGAAACTATAATATTACCGCAAAGAGAAAAAAAAAAAGGAAAAAAAACGATATATACCGATGATTATTCGAAGTATAAAATTCGAAACGCACTCTTAATGAATGTTGTAACGATTTAGAGAAATATTTAAATTGCATTACTAATACTCGCTGTGTAAATCTGGTCATTAGGATACGAATGCTTTGCTCCCTCGATCCCCTATGTGCTCGTGCATCGCATTGCTAATGGAATACGTCGCCGAGAATTTTCTTGACGAAGGGAAGAAAGAGAGCAGAGTAGTCGGTCCAAAATGGAGCAGATAAATTTAAGTTTCTTCCTTTGTCAAGAGCGTAATATTTAACCCTTCATTTATATATCTTCTCTATATAAGCGCAAAACCTCTCACAACACACTCATACACACGCAGAAAATTAGAAGTATTTAAGATTCGTAGAAAGTCATCCGTTGAGTTTATAAAGAAGAAGCCTTTGCGCGCGACATGTGATGTGCGGCTTTTGTAAAAGACAACAAACTTTCAATCGAAGTTTTGTAAGAAAGCTCTTGGCACGAGAGTGGAGAAGGTAGCGGGGTAAGGGGGCGAGGAAAGAGTTCTCGGATATGGTTGGCTGACATTTTCGGAAGTTTAATGATTTATTGAAAAACGTGTTGTCATGTCTTGAATACAATTAAAAAGAGTATAAAAAATTGCATCCCGAGCAAGTATTTTATTTACCGAACGCTTCCCGTAATAAGAACGTCCTTCTGTATTCTTCACAATTATCCTAATTTTTGGTCGTTTATTGCATTTACAGCGCATTTCCGTTTTATCCTTTTTAAGCTCGCAAATGATGTACGTTTAATTGGAAACGATCAATGAGAAGAGAACTTTATCAAATTTCTTTTTTTTTCACATATACTACCTAACTAATATCACAGAATCATGTGACTAAATTCATCTTCGGATTTTGTCCTCTCTAATATTTCTTTTTTGTTTCATGCAAAGCAAACAGAAATACAGATAAACGATGTTGTAATACGAAAAAAAATTCAGAAATGTTTCTTTTAATTTGAGAGAGAATACTCATTAATACATCTGTGTGGAGAAACTTTATTCAAAATTTTTATACGCACACAATTCTTCCTCCGCACTGTTTGATATCACAAAAATTTATCCATTTAAATATCATATCAAATAGATACATGTTATATAATTTATTTATCGCTTAAATATATAATATCAGTTTCCATTTTATTTAGATTATTGCAACATGGAAAATTCCACTGATGGCATCAATTGTTAATGTGGCTTGTCGGAAGAAACATATGACTGAATAATATAAAACTGAAGATTTAAAGATTCGCAAGAAATCGCGTGCGTTTTATAATATATTCTCATTCTATCGTGTTATATATCATTTACTATATGCAAGGGCCAGTGTTAAATAGAAGCTTTTGATAAATAGAAAAGTATCGTAAAAAATATCTAGGCACACAGTACGACTTATTATTTTATTATCATTAGATTTCTATTATTATCAGAACATCATTTATTCACTGCTTTGAAGGAATTAATCCCCTCACTTACTGGATATATGTAGAGATTTTTCTTGTAATCTTCTATATCAATAATGTGATTATCTTTATCCTGGGGATCCTTGGCTATATATTCCAAGGAGTACTGCGTTTTGCTGCAATCCTCTGGGATATCTATAAATAAAAAATTTTGCATTTGACTTTCTAACAGAGAAATACTATAATGGAAGAGTACACATGCACCTTCTTATAACTTCTTTGCAATTTTTAATTTCTTTCCTCATACTTTTATGTGTTGATCGATCATTTTTGCAACCTCATCAAGTTAAATCTAATTATTCACATAATTATAACACAATTATACATGCATTCGATTGTGCTACATCGATTTTCATATATTGCAGGATTAAAGCACTTAAGTCCTAATAATTCTCTTTTGCGCAAAAATCATGCTCACATGATTCGTCATAATTACATGTTCATTAGTCTTATCTATCTGCGACTATTTTTACTTTCTCTCGCTATATAAACAGTCATTCTCTCAATCATTTTCTCTCATATATTACCAGTAGATTTCTCAAACATTCTTCTCGAAGAATTTCTTCTATTCTAATTTATTGACACGCGATCGCGTTCTTCCATTTATACCGCTTCAAATTCACATCATTACACACTGTATTCTCTCATGTAGATAGTATAATAAAGTAGAAAACATCCAGCAGAAACAGAAGATAAAAAACATAACAACAACAATTATTATCATAGATGTTTAAATATAGATTGTATCTATCCTATCATAATCAAACGTTATGTATGCATAATTAGAAAAAGAAGGCCAGAGGTATATTTATCTTTTTTTTTAACTTGACATACAATTTCAATTTTTTCTTTATTTTTACAGAAAAAAAGAAAAAAAGGATCTTCTAAATTGTACACAACGCTTGATCGGGAACCGTGCGATCTATACTTGGAATACGTCTATGATTATTATCTATTCACATAAACATATTCAAAAACAAGACAGAGAAATATCGATACAAAAATTATCATTGACTCACTGATCGCTTCGTTAACTTCTTCGTTGCTCTCCTTACTTCCCACCACGTGAATACTTAGTTTTCTAAAGTTACTTCCGTTCAACGTATGCTTCTCAGTCCATTCTCTCAGATCGTTGATCTTGATGTTCTTTATCGCGAGCACTTCTCTCTCGAGTCTGTCGAACATGTACTGCCAATTCGTAATCTCGTTCCAGTTTCTTGTAACTTCCTCGTTCAGATCGATATCGGCGCACTGCTTTTCCTTTCTTAGCGCCTCCTTGACACAATCAAATTCCTCTTCCCACAAATCTTTCAAAATCTTATTAAACGATTTCAAGAATTCCTCAATCTGTTGATCCACGTGCTCGGTCGTGTACTTGTCCGCCTGAGTTTGAACTATAATGGAATATCCCAAAATCCCATAAATATTTTGTTGGATGCAAGCGACATCGTAACCGAGCTGCTCCTTGGTTCTAAGTCGATTAAACAGCGGTTCCTCCATTATCATCTGAAATAATCACATGCAGAATGTGATGTTGAGCGGATGAACGCAAAAATTAAAAATGTTTACATATTCGATTAACTACACTTGGGAATCAAAGTATAAATGTGTGATACGAATAAATACGAGGATTTTAAACGTTTCTCAAATATAATCGTGAAATAATGGGATTTATCCACTTACTATTAATAAATCGATCAACACCGATAACTCGATCGACGTAATTCCAGCCTGATAATGATTTGTCACTATGGAATTCACGTCGGTGTTGTTGATGTTTCTCAGCTTGCAATAGTACGTGCCTAGGGGTATCTGCATAACTCTTATCTGCGGTATCATACTCGGGAGCAGCGATTTGCAGTTGAATATTTCGATGCATCGTTGCACGTTCTCAATCGCGGCATCTTGCGTCATGTTGCCCTGCACGAGGCTCTGAATATAGAGACAATCGTTGAAAGATTTGACGAAGTCTCGGAATCTTTCGAAATTGACGTCACGTAGAGCGGTATACGAATCGATTTGCGTGTGATGGATGAACTTAAGAATACACAATCTCACATCCCTGCAAATGAATACAAAATCGCGCGTGTTTGTGATTAATTAAATATATAATTCATTTTACAATATGTAATTAATCACATATTTTCTTCGGTTATTCAAGAATTGTGGCAGCTATCCTAGATAATAAATAGATACCTGGCGAGTTTCTTGGGTTTTATAAATGTGTTGTAGAATGTCTTGAGCTGCTGCTCTTTCAAAACTTCGAATAACTCCTTTGTAACAAGATTTGGATAATCCACCATGTATTTGACGACAGTGAATACTAAGAGCTGCATAATGCAAAAATGTAGGTATAGCTTGAAATTGTATCTCAGGAATTGTATTCAGATAATACCTTTGCTAAAAGGAACTTACTGGCAGTTTCTCGTTAAATCCGTTAAACCTCATTTTGATACCCCTCTCACTAACATAAACGTGAAAATTAAATCCGGCCGCTATTGCTGGATATATTTCTTCGACCAACAGCAGTTTTAGTACATTGCAGTACAATTCCATGAGAGCTGCACTGAGATGTCATTAGTGTAAATGTTATTTTTTCTTTTAAACAAAGAATGCAAATAAATATATAAAAATTATAACATTTACAACAAAGATATACATATTGAAAATAGATGTCTCAAAATATATATGTTCATTTAATTTTCACTATTTTCGATCGAGTTAAAGGAAAAAATGTCGCAACAGTGACAAGTTTTCAAGTTGTATAAAAGTAAAAGTAAAAGATTTTAAGTGCAAATAATAATGCTATACTTAATTCAGAAATATAATTAAATAATAGAATGCTATTGTCCATTCAAATTAAAGATTTTAATTTTTCAGAATCACTTGATTAGTAATTCCATTATCGCGCGATATATAATAAAAAAGTCATGAAAAATGATAATCTTTCAAAATATTAGTGGCGAAATATTTGTCATTAGTTAATAATTCAGAATATTGAAAAACTAAGCACCATATTCCAGTATATTATATTCTTACATCTACAGTTTCCATATTGTTACTTACTTCTCCGGCGATTGAAGCCCCAGAGAGGAGACAAAATGGAAGTTCATGTAACATTCTGGAAGGCAAAACTTTGAATCCGGACGGTACCAAATCTCGGATGTGGTGTCGCTGTGTATCTTCACGGGATATTTCGGAATGTCTGCCGGAATCGATATCAAAGTAAAGTCGTTGGTGAGGAATGTGTTCGGTAATGGCAAGTGAAAATCTGGCAACGGCTCGATAGTTTTCCAGCGCTCGATCCATTCATGCGGTATTTCAACGTCCGTGTATTTAGTTTTGAACCACGGTTCGATCTTATTTAACTCCGTAAATCTTCCACTGAAGATCATGATATTCGCGTTTTCCGGCCTCAAGTAATCCAGGCACGTTTTTATGGCTTCTGGATCGTATTCGAAATAAAGCTCGTTTCCAGTTATGTAGTCTCGCGGTGGATAAAAGTGCATGCTTTCGCACAAATCCTCCACATACTCTATCGGATCCTCTTGATCGGCAAATCTACAAAAACCTATAGTCAGTTAAACGAAGAGTCACATGTCACATTTTGACATCTCGCGGTTTTCTTTTCCAAAATCAATTTATACCTCATTCATTTATATTTCTGAGATTCCTTTACCTGAAATTATTCTCCTCGATCTTATAGATTTCGTCGTAAATTCTCTTCTGCGGGCCTTCCGTTCTCAGTAAATTGATAAAAGAAAATATCGCATCCAGCACTTCCTCAAAATGTTTCTGCCCTTCATCCGTGAGCAGCACAGTAATCTTCATTAAAGCATACATAGAACTGTGCTCAAAACCACTCTCGCTATTACCACTGAGCATATCAATCCCCCACATTTTCTTACGCAGATAACTAATTATGGAGCCTTTCCCTTCATGTCCAATAATCCATGAGACATATTGATGTGGTTTACTTTTGTACAAATCAAGTAATGAAGGCATTGCCCATGTTATCTCTACCTGCAAAAGGCAATCTCAAAATGTTACATATAAATTTTCATATAATACAAAAATTAATACTCGTTCTAATTGCATATCTCGTTTGGCTTACATAATAACGCATAAATATACACACACACAATATTACAAAGTCAAAGATAACAAAGCATTTAATAACTTTGGTAGCAATGCACTAAATCAATGAAGAAATGTCATAAATTACAATGGAGATTTAAGATTCTTTTATACACAATTAAACTTGTTGAATTTGTTTCTTAGTCGATTTTCCTCAGAAAAGATGTAACAATTTCAAATCCATAAATAAATATTTTTCCATGTATATGATATAGTGTATTATTACCATTAAAATTATTGATTCGTGACACTAGTATCTTACAATTACGTACTTGGCTAATATCTTTAACGGGTTTAATTTTGTACATTCTTCGGAAAGCAGGAGTATCAAAAGAAATGCTGCCTTTGAATTCGGTAAAGTCGTTCGGAGGCAGCCCGTTGCTCGGCACATCGGCGAAGCACGTCGTGACATATTCCTCCAGAGTATCTAGCGGTAATCTCGCCTGTAAACGTATCTTGCTATGAATTAGCTGTGTTTGGTTAAATGATTAATGATTTTCATTGCACAGTGTTAACAAAACGAATTTTTTACCTGTATAGCCAGTTTCATTCTGTGAGCGCTATAATGGTATTCTCTGAACTTGTGCAGCTCTGCGTATAGCTTATCATCATCCACATTGTCACGCAATGTTACCAGATTGCCCCAAATAAACTTGCTGGCTGGATGACCAGCTCGCGCGCAGGAAGAAAGCATTTGCTCTTTTCTATTGTCGTCGTAAGGCAAAGCCGACTGAAATTCTATAAGAAAGCTTATCAAGATTGCAAAGAGCGTTAATACAGCTGTTACTACAATTATAATAATATGTACCGCTTTCCACGGCTTCTCTCTCGCGCGTGATGGCGTCTTTCTTCATTAAGGGCTTAATAAAGAATTGAGCGAAACGATCAAGAGTTTGTAACAAGTGTTTTTCTTGGATATCAAAGTAAAACGTCGTAAGCTCGCAATCCGTCTCGGCGTTGGTGGAGCCACCACGCTTGCTGAGAAACGCGTCAAAATCATTTTCCTGCAAGTAAAATGGTACTTGAGCATTTAAATAAACAAATTTCTCTATAGTGTTTGAGTTTGATACCTGTGGATATTTCTCTGATCCCATAAAAACCATATGCTCAAGGAAATGCGCCATGCCTGGAATTTCCGGTGGATCGCTAAAACTGCCTACTCCCACACATAAACCACACGATGCCTGTTTAAAAAAATATATACATAGATATATAGGCACAATCAGATTCAAATCAAGTAGTTTATTATTATCAATAAATGAGATAAATCATGTTATAAAAAACTGACATACTCGTAAATTCAATTGTTTATGCAAGTTTGTTATACATACCATTTTTTCATTTCTCTGGACTCGTTTAGTTGTTGAAGGACTATTTTCCTCATCGCTTGTATCTTCATCTTCATCTTCATCCTTATCATCCTCCTCCTCATCTTCTTCATCATCATCATCATCATCTTCTTCATCATCATCATCTTCATCACTATCCTCATCTTCAGTTTCATCTTCACTACTTGCTGTAGTCAATGAAAAATTGCAAATATTACATCCTCATATATAATATATCACAAATAATATATATATATTTTTTTTCCCTATAATATACATTGTTTATGTTATACAATTATCTATTCAAATACTTATTTTTCAAATTAATTTGATAGAATGATTTTTGATACTCACTTTTATTTTGATCATCATCTTGGGAAGAAGATGTTTTTGAATGTGTATCAGCTATTAGCAAAGCTGTCAAACCATTCTGTAATCTGATGACTCTAAATTTGATGGGAATAATAATATTAATGACAGAATGAGAATCTAATCAAAATGTCGATAATTACAAAAAAATGTTTGGTTCACCAAATATTTTTAAGAAACAAAAAAATATATAAATTTTGTATCAAATTTAGAAATGCAATCTCAAAAATATCTTTTATAAAAAAACAAATTTTTATTGTTATAATAAATTTATCTCCTATCCTCTTATATGAACTCAAAGATGTTTTCATAACAGAGCTATAATAAAGTTATAACAAAAAACACTATACAAAATATTCCTTTTTTCAGAAAGATAACCAAGTGATTGAAATGAGAGATAAAATAAAAATATATACCATGTAAAATAACAGTTTTACAATTATTTTAAATCTTTTATATTTACG